TGGTAGCAGGTGGGCCTAAGTTACTATCAACTGATTGAGAACAATCTAGTGTACAGACACCAGTGCAACCAAGCCCCTCAAGAAGCTATCAAGGAACTAAAAGACAATCCAGGGGCCTATGTGTACAGGTCTGAGACCCTGTCTTCACCAGCTACAGGTTGTGTAAATGCCACATGCCTCGGTGCCTTGGGGAGAAGGGCAGTAAATCAAAGACTCTGCCCTGGAGGATATTTTCTTTTTATTGACACATTTTATTTTGTACTGTTTTCTTTTCCCTTGATAATCAATAGGATGTTGTATCATAAGCAAGAATAAAAGTTATTCAAAACAAGAAAACCCTACATTTCTCTTTGTGTTAAATATTAGTGTGTTAGTGTATTAACAGCTTTATTGAGGTGTAACTAACATATAATAAACTGCAATAAACTGCATCAATTTAAATTGATAAGTTTTAACATAGATATACACCTGAAAAACCGTGCCTCTCATGCTGCTTTGCAATCCCTCCCTTCTTTCACTCCCCTTCACTGTCCATCCTCAGGCAGCCATTTATCTGCCTTCTGAAACTGAACATTAGTTTCTATTTTCTAGAGCCTTAAATAAGTGAATCATACAGTACATATTCTATTTTTTTCTGGCTTCTGACATTCAGCATGATTATTTTGAATTTCATCCATGTTATTGCTTGTATCAGTAGTTCATTTCTTTTTATTGCTGAGTTGGATTTCATTGTATGGTTATGCCATAATTTGTTTATCCATTCATTTATTTATGAAAATTTGGGTTGTTTTCAGTTTTTGGTTATTAAAAATAAAGCTGTGTATGAGAATCCACATTGTAGCACATCTTCACTAATACTTGTGGTGGTGGTAAAATCTTTCATTTTAGCCATCCTCATCAGTATGTAGCAGTACCTCTTTGTGTTTTTCTTTGTATTTCCATAATTACTAATGATTTTTACCAACTTTTATGTTCTTTCTGTGTCTCTTACGTGATCAGGTGTGTTTTCTAATCTTTTGTCCATTTTTTATTGGGCTTATTGCCTTCCAATTATTGAGTTTTAAGAGTTCTGTACATATTTGCATACAAGTCCTTTATTATGTGATTTTTAAATATTTTCTTCTTGTCTATAGCTTTTCACTCAATTAAAAGTATCTTTTGAAAACCAGAAGTAGCTAAGAAATGTTTGCTTAGCTACCTAAAAAGTTTTCTAAGAAGTATCTATGAAATATCTAAGAAATCTCTGCCTAACCCAAGGTCACAAAGACTTTTATCCTGTGTTTTCTTTGAAAATTTTTATAGTAGGGAGAGGAGTGACCTCTGAAAACTCAAGGTGGTGAAAATAAAAAAGTATTTCTTTGTAACCAGTTTGTTACTGCCATGAAATATATTTCAAGGCTTTGGCCTCCCACTTGGTGCTCTTTGGGATGAAAACAGATTTAAGCATTTGCCCAAGAAAACAAAATTGACATGTTAAATAATTTTAACGTTTCGTCCAAAGATAAGCATATGTTAATTCAGTTATTTGAACTACCTTGGCCTTCAACTTCTTCTGTACCAGTGGATAACTGAAAGTTGAATACACACATTTCAGTAATGTAACTATAAGATAATGTTTTGTTTTAGTTAAAATTTGAGGAACAAAAAATTTATACTGGATTTAATTCATTCATCCAACATATTTATGGATACCTACTATGCCAAGCACTGTACTAGGAGCTTTTATCCATTTTCATCTATACATTTTCTTATTTAATCTCTCTAATATTAAACTGTGTGCTTTTGGCAAAAGAAACTTTAAAGGTTAAAAGTTGTCAAATTCTCACTGTTAGTGAGAGAGAGATGCCTCTGAGAATCTGTAATCTGGTTAGAATAGTCACACACCTTGACAACAATACCCTAAGATAAATGCCATTATAGACATAGGTTAGCCTATGTGGCTCCCAGAGGGAACCTCTGAGGAGGCTTTTAAAGAATGAATGTAACATTAACAGGTAAATACTGGGCTGTGATAAGGAGAGGAGGTAGAATAGAAACTCAAAGTAGAGGGGAAATTTTTCACAGAGGCACATTGGCTAAAGAATGCTGAGTGTGGTCACGGAACAGCAAGCTGCTGTGATTTTTGGTTAGGGGATAGGATGGTAGGAGATATCAGCATGCGACACACTTGGAAGCAAGAAGAGATATACTGTAACAGGCAACAGAGAGTCAAAACAGGATTTTGACCAGGAGGAAAGCTAAATCAGAAGTGGGTTTTCAGAAATATTTTTGCCATTCTTATCTATGGCAGTCTGGGTAGAAGAAGGAGAAGGATTGGAGGCCGGGAGGCTGGGGAAGCTGGCGAGACCTGGGACTGGGAACTGACCAGGGGAAAGGGGGAATTTCACTTTCCATCCAAAATGTTCTCTCCTAAGCTCTCTTGGTACGCTTTCCTTGAAAAATAACGTAGATTCAGCTAACTGCTTGATTTGAAAAGTTTTTTTTTTTTTTTTGGTTGGTTGGTTAACTTGTTTGTTATCTGGCAACTAAAAAGGGCCTCTTTTTGTGCAGCAGAAAGATATAGCCCAAGATGCTCCAGGAAAGTCAACTGAGTTATGACGTAAAGAATGGATTTGAGGGAGGCTAATTAGTCCTCACCCAGGTACTAGGCAATAAGGAATGGATCCAGAACACTACTGATCGCTAGGAGATCTGGAAAGAATGAGATCAGTCAAATTTGATTGGATGGGATGCTTAATCATGACCCGCCAATTTTAAAATCAAGTGTCTAGAAAACTGATGGTTTTCCTGTAGGAAATAAGACAATGATTTAGGAAGAGAGATAGTATGCTTATTTTAAATAGAGTTGAATCAGAAGACCTTACAATTCAAAAGATAGTCCACACAATAGGACTTTCATGAGGAAATATCTAAAAGCTGTTCAAAGGCCAGATATAGTATTCATAAAAGAAGAGAGGGCTGAAAATAATATTTAAACGTTGTCCACATGGAGATACAGCCATGTGTGCTTGTCTGTGCTGAGGGATAACATGGTGGCAAATGGATGGTGACCAAGGGCAGACTTTTGAGGAAATACAGCTGGAGAAAAAGACCCATCCAGAGAGACAGAAAGGACATAAGGCAAGAGAAGTAGGATACGTAGAGTTGCAGGGGTAAATGGAAGACAGGCGGAATTGGTGAAATGCAGCAGACCTGCCAATGAGGATGTGGATGTAGGCGCTGTGTTTGATGATACGGGATCAATTCCTGTAGGCAGGCTTTCCACCTTCTCCCTCCTGCCCCACTCCAGGCCATCAGGGACTTTACTTTCTCTCTTGCTGCTTCATCTGAGCAGAGACAGCATTGATGATGGGTTAACCTCCTGTTTATCCTTTGGATCAAATATTCTCTAAAAGCAAGGACTGTGGTGCATCATCCTGCAAAGTGATATAGGATGGGGATTTGGGGAAAAATTAATATGCCCCCTGATGGACCACAGTGTCCAGAGAGTCAAACTGTGAGGTATTATGGAACAGGAAGATCGTAAGAAATGAAAGAAGCACCTGAATATAGGAGAAGGCAGGCAGGGAGTTATGAGAAGATTCCATTGAGAGAGAAACAGAAAGAAAAAAATGTTTAATTACATCGTAAGAGAGATTCGTCAATGTCTCTAAACTGCAGTGAAAGCCAATGCAAAGGAGGGGATGACAAAGCAAGCGTCGATGCTTAACTACTGATGGAGTGAGTCTGAGAAGGGACTAGTAAATGCAAGGGTGGGGTTGACCTGACAGAGGGTGGGGTGTGAGAGAAGGTGCAGAGAAATGTAGAGGTGAGAGGTAGGAATAGTGAATGGAATGGACTATGAAAGAAGGAAGTCATGGCCTAATGGGAAACAAACAAAAAACCCCACTAACTTTCAAGTTCTGATACTGTCATTTTATCAGTTTTGTGACCTGTGGCAAGTGACTTAACATTTTTTTTAAAGCTTCAACTTCCCTTTTGGTAAAAATGGTGCTGCTACCTTCCAACTCCAAAACCAGGTGCTATTTTCCCACTTAATTGCAAGTGCCTTTTTGGCTGTTTTTGTTTTAATGTTTCCCTTTCTGGGCAGAGCAGCTGGAAGATGGGCTGGATCTTACCAGCAAAGCAGGAGGGTGGGTCATCGGAGGAGGGGAACAGTGATGCCATAAGCCTGAGAGATCACGAAGAGGTTTTAGCAGTGCTAAGCATAGGCTAGGGAAATTAACACAACGTGAATAAAGATTTGCAGGCCCCAGTGAGGACCCAAAGGAGATTAGAGGGCAGGGAGGCCTGATCGAACAGGAATCAGGCCCCTAGCTGAAAAAGTGTTGGGGAGGTGTGGTACAAATTTGGTTTTAATTTTATTTATTTTTGAGATAGGATCTCGCTCTGTCATCCAGGCTGGAGTGTAGTCGTGCAATCTCGGCTCATTGCAGCCTCGACCTCCTAGGCTCAAGCGATCCTCCCATGTCAGCCGCCGGGACCACAGGCCTGCGCCACCACGCCCAACTGATTTTTGTATTCTTAGTAGAGACGCGGTTTTGCAACGTTGCCCAGGCTGGTCTTGAACTCCTGGGCCCAAGCGATCCTCCCGCCTCCACCTCCCACAATGCCGGGATTACAGGCATTATTAGCCACCGCGCCCGGCGTAAGCTTTGTGGCTGAACCTGGCTCACAGGTGTGAGCGTTGAGTGGAGCCCACCCTGGAATCCACGCATCTCGGGATGCTTTGGGATGGGCTTCAGCGGGTTCAAAAGGCCCGGAAATCGCCCAGAGGCGTCGATTTCCACAAGGCTTGCAACGAGCTCTCGACACAGATTAGGAACCTGTAACCAAGGCTTGGTAAGCCCACCGGGAAGGCGAGCCGCCTCCCAGCCTTGCGCCCTGCGGTGCTCTAGCAGTGCTGCAGAAACTTCAGGAACTTCGCTTTCATCTCTTGCCCAACGCAAGTCCTCGGGCTTTTTCTTTTTGTAAATTGCTGAGTGTGGCGAGGCCCCGCCCTTCCGCGCCCGGCCGCGGGGCCGCCCCTGCCTCCTCCCGGGCGGGTGCTCCTTCCCGGACGGCTCTGGAAGCCCTGGCGGCGGCGGCCCATGGGGCCCTTGGCGCTGCCCGCCTGGCTGCAGCCCAGGTAGGGCGCTCGGCCGAATTCCGAGGGGAGTGGGCGGGGGTAGAGGGCCTGGGGGCGGGGGCTCCCCTCTGCTGCGGGCGGGGGGGCATTACCGACCCGCGCTGCGCTGCGCTATCGTGCCCAGGCACCCCTTGGATCTCGTGCAGGTATTTGCTAATTTATGTTTCTAGGAAACCCTAGGAAGCAGGCTCTGTTGCTTTCTCCATTTCACAGATGAAGAAATCGGAAGAACAGGCCGCGGGGCTACCCCTGCCCTTGTGAGCCCTCTGCCAGTCCCTCCCTCCCCCCGCCGGGGCCCTTCTCTTGACTTTCTCAGAAGCAGAGTTACGGGGTGATTTTTCGATCTAGCAGCCCTGGAAACACCTATCACATGTGTAGATCCCGGGGCCCAGTTCCAGGGGGAACAGGTCAGTTGTATAGCGGTAGGGCCTGGGAGTGTGTGTTTAACCCCCAAGCCAGGTGATTCTGATATGGGCTGAAGGAGGGTTTCCTCTTCCCAGACCTTTAGCAGTTCCTGTCTTATGGGGTTGGGGGGGGTGTCCCCAAATAAAATTATTCTGCCTCACAGCTTACTTTCCTTGTTTCTCGGAGGTTTCACATCTCCAAGGAGGAGTAAATCTTGAATACACTGGCAGGGCCACTCCCGTGCCTCCTCTGAACTCCCAGAGAACACTTCAAACAGTGCTCTTCCTAACTCCCTCAAACCGTGTCAGTCTTCTCTTAGTCATCTCCCAGCAGCTCACAACACATTTTAAACCCAGCTTGACTTCCTTTTTCTGGTGTAACTAAACCGCTTTCTATGTGTATCTGATGAAACTATCTGCCCTTGCAAAGTATTAATAAGAGGCAGTGGCAAGATGTTAATACTAGCCCCAGTCCTTAATTCGTTCAAAACTCAGGTGTGTCCAGTTACTAAATTACCCAACATTTGGGAATGCTGCCATCCCTACCCCACTTCAGAACTACAACACTAAGTCTCAGGTTCTGCACTTAGCAAGCCAAGCTACTGGAACACATAGTAACACATCAACCCCTCTGCACACATGGGTTTTGTTATTGTTGTTGTATTGTTATTTTTATTTTTTATTTTTGACCCAGAGTCTCACTCTGTTGCCCAGGCTGGAGTTCAGTGGTGCTATCCTCCGCTCACTGCAGCCTCTGCCTCCCAGATTCGAGTGATTGTCCTGCCTCAGCCTCCCTAGTAGCTGGGTCACTGGGATTACAGGCATGCACTGCCACATCAGGATTTGGCTTTTTTTTTTTTTTTTTTTGGTAGATACAGGTTTTGCCATGTTGGCCAGGCTGGTCTTGAACTTCTGGCCTCAAGTGATCCAGTCCTCCTTGGCCTCCCAGAGTGCTGGGATTACACGCTTGAGCCACCGCCTCCAGGATCTTTTGTTTTTTTTAAAAGAATATTTGAAGCCACCTTTGCAGTGGTTTCTTTTATTCCCTGGTGAGCAGTAAGGTTAGAACTTTATCAAAGGTGAAAGTAGAATTTGAAAAAGGACTGTATTTGATTTTAAGCAAACTAACTATATAGATGGTTCATGATTCATGATGGTTCAACTTATAATTTTTTAAACTTAGTGATGGTGTGCAAATAATATATATTCATTAGAAATTGTACTTAAAATTTAAAATTTTCACCTTTCCCCAGGCTAGTGATGAGCAGGTATGAGACCCTTTCATGATGCTGGGGCTGCAGCTTCCAGGTGGCCACATGATCAGGAAGGTAAACAAGGAGTACTCCGATTCTGCCCAGCTGTAAGCTAATGTGGGTGTTCTGAGCAACTTTAAAGTAGGCCAAGCTGTGATGTTTTGTAGGTCAGGTGTATTAAATGCATTTTCAACTTATGATATTTTCATTTTTTGATATTTTTAGTTAATGGGTTTACCAGGACATAACTTCATCATAACTGAGGAGGTTTCTGCACTTACTTAGCAGGTAGTGTAGGCTATGGCTCCCTTCAAAATCTGATGTGTACTTGGGGGTACCCAGATTAGAGACTGATAATGAACAGTTTTCTTTTGCTTGCTCAGGTTGGCCAGTACATCGAAGTACGTGTATAGTGCTGAAAGGATGATTATAAAATAAGTGTTTAATGGCATTTTCCTCTATTTATAGGTATAGGAAGAATGCCTATCTTTTCATCTATTACTTAATCCAGTTCTGTGGCCACTCTTGGATATTTACAAATATGACAGTCAGATTTTTTTCATTTGGAAAAGGTAAAACTCCAAAACAGTTTTTGATTTTTAACTTTTAATCCTTGTTTTCACCTCATCTTGCTTACATTTCTACACGCCTCACCTAATTTCCTTCTCGAAAATTTATATTTTTCAGCAACCATATTTATTGCAAAACCTTTTTGGAGAAGGGAGAAGGTGAGATAAGTAAAGCACAGGGGTTTGGTTTCCCCCTGAGTAGGCAGGTTTCCTGAAAACAGAGATGGATGGCTTCGGGGTGGTGTCATTTCATTGTTCCTTTTCCACTCTGCACCGAACCTCAGCAGATTTCTTGTGTTTTGAGGAAATCTCAGCATAACATTTTATGTAGAGAAATCGGGAATGAATCAAATTTTTCCAGTGTTTATATTGTTCCCCAGGTTTGAGGTAACTGGAGACTAGTAAGTGAAAGACAAATTTTATATTTCCTTCGCCTCTGTTAGGTCCCTTTAAGAAGTAATATGTAAATGCCACACTAAGTAGATGGCCAACCACTTACACGGGAGTCGGCATTAATGGTTTAAGTCATAAACTTCCTCTAGTTTCCTGAAAAGTAAAGTCACTGTTGGTTGACTACATGACTGTCAAAATAACATTCTCTTCATGTTCCATCCACACATGAGTAAGTGTCATCACAGTTTACAACTGTTGAGTGACTTGACAATCTAAGCAACTGCTGGCTTCAGCTAAAAACAAATGTGTAGAATGTATCTGGGAAAAGTCATGCTGTGCTCATCATTTCAGACGTGTGTATAATAAGGAAGTTACTCTACTTGCAAGGTCCCATAAGCTATTTTATGTTGCTACCTCTTAATAAAAATCTACAGATAAATTCTCGCCTTTGTTAAGCACCTCCAAAGATACAACCTGAGGCTTGAGTTTCAGCTACAAATGTTGAGAGTTTTCAAGCAGGTGATGGGAAAACTTCTTTTATATATATATTTTTAAAAACCATCACTTCTAGTCCTTTGAGGTTTGCTGAGGTAGTGCAGGCATATTGCATGTCGTTTGCAACACAAGCCATGAACTCTCTTATGCTGCCTTACCTTTCCAGTGAGACAAGTTGCCTTAGTGGTGTTTCTCCTCCCTCCCTGCCCGCGTCCCTCCCGCCCTGTCCCTGCCCGCTCCCTGTCCCCCTCTCCCGCCCGTCTGTCTCGTCTCCCCGTCTCTGTTGCTCTCTGTCTCTGTTGCTCTGTCTCTCTTTTCTCTCTCTCTTTCTCTCTTTTTCTCTCTTTCTCTCTCTCTCCTTTCTTTCTGATGGAGTTTCCCTCTTGTCTCCTCTCAGGCTGGAGTGCAATGGCGTGATCTTGGCTCACTGCAGCCTCTGTCTCATGGGTTCAAGAGGTTTTCCTGCCTCAGCTTCCCGAGTAGCTGGGATTACAGGCACCTGCCACTATGCCCAGCTAATTTTTGTATTTTCAGTAGAGATGGGATTTCACTGCATTGGCTAGGCTGGTATTGAACTCCTCACCTCAGATGATCCGCCAGCCTCGACCTCCCAAAGTGCTGGGTTCACAGGCATGAGCCACCTTGCCCAGCCCGGCGCATTTCTTTCTTTTTATCCTGCCGTTATGGTTGTAGAAGCTACTTATTAAATAAACACAACTGATTCATTCAGGAGACAAACTGAAGACAAGTGTGGCTTCAGTACAATTCCTGAATCAGTGTATAAATTACATAAGTAGCTCAACAGAAACCTGAAACCCTGAATGTATTATACCTGCGCTTCTTCCTTCGCAGAACTGTGTAATTCATAATACTCTGGCAGCAAGTTCAGGGCAGTAAATAAGAGCATGGACTGTGTGCTTCAGGAACCATCTCTGAAATGGGGATGGTAATAGCGTCCATGTCGCGGAGCTGCGGAGAAGAGAAATCCTTATTCAGTGCTCAATAAATTATTATTGTGTGAATCATTACTGGGCAGTAAAGAGAGCAAAATCTTCTCTAAGAGTTTCTAAACATGGCAGGATTCCATTTTAAAACTTGAAGCAACAAATTTATGCTATGTAGAGGAACATTTGTTTTCCTTCCATTTCAGCTCCCTCTGAGGGCACAGTATTTCATTTGAACCCTCCGTAATGCAAACTCCAAAAGTCCTGCTCAGAGGCCCAAGTTCCAGTGTTTAGCAAAATCCAGAAAAGCACTAACCAAATATGTAGGGAAACAAAATTCCAGATACGTATGTTCTTTGATATCATGACATTAACAGCGTCACTTCCATAAACCACCTCTGAAATAATATTTTTTCTAATCTTTGTCATTTTCTTGTCAGTGGAGAAGCTGTGAGCACAGTAGTGTCTTTAACAAGCTCATTTCTATTTACACTTGAGGTGGTCTAGATTCTAGGAGGTTACTCTTATGTGGGATTGCTTTATAATCTTAAAAGTGGGGAGTAACTACTGCACGCACATTTAGCCATGAAATCTTTCTCAAGGTTTTTAATTCTTTTTGGAACAGGAGCAATGAAAGTACACTACATTATGAAATGCTTTTTTTAAAATTTGCATTGTATTAACAATTTAGTAGCCTACTTAAGGAATTTTTCACATGTACAATGAAAAAGCAAGTGAATAATCTCCATTTGATTTCAAAGTGCTGCATACATTTGGGTTATAATCTAGTTTTTACTTACTATATCTGCATTTTTAACCCACTGGACAGATTCAATGGTTGACACTTTTTATGCTATTGGATTTGTGATGCGACTTTGCCAATCCATTTCTCTCCTGGAATTGCTGCACATATATGTTGGCATTGAGTATAACCATCTTCTCCCAAGGTTTTTGCAGGTAGGTTAAAATCACATCATTATTACTATGATTATTATAGAATCTGTTTCATATTTACATTTTTCCTGTTTATAGCTTCTCTTGACGTTATGACAGTTAAAAATCCAACCCTTGTCTTAGGTCACTGATAAGGAGAAGCAAGTTCATGGAAGGACAACCTTATTCTAAAACTGCACGATTAGAATAACCAGTTGGAAACATTCAGGGCAGTCATGCTGCACTGCATTGATCCTATCCTGGAAGGAGCTTTCATAGCCACTTTGCACCTTCACTATGTCACTGCCTGGGGTAGTAGAAGACAATGATGAGGCATAGGATTGGAGACTTGGGTTTGAGGCCGGGCTTTGCTGCTTACCGCTATGGGATCATACCACCCACAACCATTGGGCTGTTGAGGGAAAGGACAACACAAAGGCTGGCAAAAAGTAGGTGATTAAAAAACCAAAAGTTCCCTTCATCTCTGTCCAGACAATAGAGTACTCCTGGGCCATTTCTTGTTCATTCGCCCTCTTTTACTAAACATCAATGGAAAGGGGAGATCATTTGTGTTTATCTAGTGTGGCATCTAAGCATAGATGTGGGGGTCACACAGACCTGGATTCAAATCCCAGTTCTACTTTGCACTAGGTGTATACATTTAAACAAGTCATTTAATCATTGTGAACTTCATTTTCTCATGTGATATGAAAATAACATGTATCTTATTAAGTAACTGAGAAAATGGATAAGTTTGTGGCACTTGGTTAAGAATACAGTACTTGGTAGCTATTACTATTTTCTTTTTTTTTTTTTAAATTGCATTTTAGGTTTTGGGCTATTACTATTCTTAGCTATTTTTTGATCCCTATTCCATGCCTCTAGCCCTAGATTATGATGTTCTTTGAAAAGGCAGGTTGAAGGAAAATGGGAAATTTGCAAGTAGTGACTCCATGTAAAAAACCATTGCTGGATAAAGACAAAAAATAAAAATATTTTCTGTAGATTTTAAACTCATGTTCATATAGTCATCCCTTTCTTATGGGACAGTAAAGGTTAGGCAACTATATGAACATGAGTTTAAAATCTACAGAAATAGTTATCTACATGAGTATTATTTTAGGTATCTCCAAAATAAATTTGAAAATGGTTAATTTTGACAATTTTACATTGTTAAAATAATTAAAATATGTCAGAATTGTATTGTTGCCAGCGCCTAACAAAATGCTTACAATGTAAATGTACACTTTAAGTTTTTGTTAAATGAAAGAGTGGCATAGATCCTTATATTAAACTTTGTTTAAAATACCATGAAAGCCTAAAAGATAGAAATAGTATAATCCTGAGGAGCCTTTTAAGAACTGAGCATTACAATTTTATGGAATATTTTTACCTATGGAATATTTTATGGAAAATTTTACTTACTAAATAAGAATAGGGAAATAGTATCCATTAGGATGAAGACATTTAAAGTGTTGAAATATCAGATGTGAAACAAAAATTAGGATAATTGTGTATGAACTAATAACATAGTAGTCAGTTAACTAGCTAAGACCTAGATGGAATTCCCTTTAACATAGTTCCTTACAAAATAAAAAGGGATACAGATCTGTCCCAACAGCAACATATTATCTAGGAGCAAGATTTATTGGTGTTTATTACTTATTTACAATGTGTTGTACTTTGAAACAACCAAAATACATATAGTACCAGCATCCCATAATGCTAATCTTGGGAAAAATAGAATTAACAACTAAGATTAAGTAAAAGTTGTATTCTGTCATCTGGAGTAATACTGCCTGATATATGATTAAATTCATCTAAAATCGAGGTTAGGTTTTCTTTTGATATTTTTTTAAAAGTACTTTTTACTTTTTTTTTTTTTTTTTTTTTTGAGTCGGAGTTTCGCTCTTGTTGCCCAGGCTGGAGTGCAATGGCGCGATCTTGGCTCACCGCAACCTCCGCCTCCTGGGTTCAGGCAATTCTCCTGCCTCAGCCTCCTGAGTAGCTGGGATTACAGGCACGCGCCACCATGCCCAGCTAATTTTTTGTAGTTTTTTAGTAGAGACGGGGTTTCACCATTTTGACCAGGATGGTCTCGACCTCGTGATCCACCCGCCTCGGCCTCCCAAAGTGTTGGGATTACAGGCGTGAGCCACCGCGCCCGGCTACTTTTTACTTTTTTAGGCTAAGTGGCTGCTACTGGTTTCATGGTAAAACATTTTCAAAATTAAGAGTAGTGTTATTTATTACCAGTGTAGAGAATGCACCTAGTGAGAATAGAGAATTTTATAAGGAAGAAAACTCACTGAGCACCTTGAATGTGCCTAGAAAATGTCCACATATGTGCTTTACAAAATTAGGCTTATTTAATAACAGAAATTATTACATAACTTAGAAATTTTATATCTTGGAGTTCCAGGAATTCCAGAATATACACCTGATTTTAATCACTGCTAATTAAAACTCTAATGGCTTATAGAAATATATAGCTATAATCAACCAAATCTTGGTTTGGCGATTTAAAAACAGTGGCAAATATATATTGACACCTTTTATTCAAAGATGAGTTTGCAAAGTCTGATGTTAGCAGAGTGCAGATGATTTTGAAGTCATCAGTCATTGGGAGACGTAAGTCAGGGATCACTATGTTAGGGAGAAAAATTAATCTCATCCTGAGCTGATTATTATCCATCTTTGTGGCGGCTGCCTGGCTTCCTCTTTTTATCTCATTTGAGATTTTATTTGGCTTCTATTTCTTTAATTCATCTGTCATCCTTTTCGTGTTTCCCTCAATGGAAATGGCGTTTGAGAATGGTTCAGAAACATGCCATTGTGCCCAAAATTTCATTTTCTCCCTCCTTCCTTTATTAGAGTCATGCAGACAACTAGAATTCCCTCATTATGGGATGACACTGAGGCCCCTGCTTTAAAATAATGAAACAAAACTCTCAGGTTGTGTAATCATTCTTGGTTTTCCTGTTTCCCCATTTTTAAATGAAGAAACTGTAGCTAAGAGTGGCTGCTTTTAAGAAAGCTGAAAAACCATGTCCATGCAGTTGTGGTGTGACTTTGATATTACCTTCAAGAGATTGTTCAGTGACAGCTGAATTCTTTTTGTGCGGAGCTGGTCCTCCCAAATATCTAGAGAAATAATTCCAACCGACAGTAGGAACTCATTAGCTAGTTGAGCAATTAGTATTATACATATCAAGTAGTGGTGGTGTGTCCACAGGGGATAAGTTTATTTTTTGGTGCTGTGTTTGTGTTTCTTGTGCTTTTGTTTCCTGTGCATTTTTAAATGTTTTACACGCACATCTTTATTTTGACACCTAGGGAAAAATGGTAATGAATTTCTAAAATTACACAGGAAAGGAAAGGAGAAAAACCCATTGACTAAAAGACAATAATCATTTAACTGACATATATTTTGCTGTGTATATACTTAGGGGAAAATGGTAAAACTATAACATATATATTTATAGACTTCCAATTTTTGAAATAATTGCACGTCAATAAAAATCACATAAGAAAATATAGTAAACTTTGATACTTTTTAAAATGGAAAAGTAAAAATGGTCCAAAAGAAGCATAAAAGAAAAAAATATATAAATGAAAACTAGGCATCTCTCTTCTCCAACCCATCCTCCCAAATGAGCTTACATACTTTTTTTTTTAGCTTAGAAAAAATGTTGAATTGGAAAACTAGTTGATTTCAGTAAACTTAATCAAAACAACTTGACTTAGTACAGAAATATTATCTACCATGAAATGTTGATTTTGAGAGCCTTTATTCAGTTTGCTCTTACAGAAGCCTGAGAAGGAGATTTTACTTATACACCTTTAGGATGTTATAACTCAAGAAGAGGGGAAAATAGCCAACACTACCCATTGAATCATAACATGAAACTGATACCCCCATAGGAAACCATTAATAGTCTGCTCCATCACCTTTTGAGAAATGCTTTCAATGCAAATAATTCATTTATAACTGAATTAAAATGATTAAATTACACATCCTTCCCTCTGCATCATAATCAGCACTTCTGCACATAATAATTTTACACATTTTTACTTAATTTTTTAAGTTTCTCAACCAAGACACTAAAAACTATTACTCCCAAATTATTGTGCTTACAAGGATTCCATTTATGAGTCCAAATCACATAAACCATTTCTGTATTTACCAGTAACACTTCTACTCCTGATCAGGGCACGCAGGTATCTGTCAAAAATCCCTCTAAAGATTTCACAGTCACATACTCTTAAGAGAGCAAATAGGAAGGAATTCCCAAAGGAAAGTATCTTGCAGGAAAAAAAGCCAGATTTTACCCTAATTTCTTTTTAGCTATGAAGCAGGTGCTTATTTGCATTGCTAGACCAAATAATCATCTGACTTTCCATAAAATAACATAGATTTTTCTCGCCAGTTTTGAGCTTGGAATAGGCTTATATTGTTAGAGAAGAAACTACCAAAGAGAGTGTTGATCTGTAACATTCTCCAAATTTTGAAGCCTCCTGAGAGGCTGTGCCCAATTCACTCTGTAGGTAAGATTTTAGATTTTTCTTCTGTTTTTAACGTTTGATCCATACATTTCTTCAGTGTGATAAGTAGAAAGCTATATTCTTAGTGTAATTTTACAGATGCTGAGATTGAATTTTTTTTAATTCACTGAAAGTCATTATCTACATAGAAAAAGTTTTCCTGTAAATACATTGTAAATCACTACATTAAAGTGTATTTCAGTATTTTCCTAATCATAGCTTACATTAGGCTTTTATGTGTGTCACTTTTCTAAGTTCTTTACATGTAGTATTTAATCTTACAACAACCTTATCCTGTATATGATAATGACTATGTAACAATAGATGCTAATTATTATCTACAGTATAATTATTTAACCCAGAAGTAAATTATGCAAGGCCACATAGGTTTTGAATATTACAGCAGAAATTTAAGCTATTTGGCTCCTGAGCTCTCAACTATTATGCTACATTTGTTTACTGTTTCACCAAGTATAATTTAAATATCATGAAAGCAGGGGCTTGGTCTTGTTCACAGCTGTATCCCCTGGGACCCAGAACTTACACTCAATTATCTATTGAATGATGAATAAATAAACAAATACAATTATTTAAATGCTTTTGCCTTACAGAAGAATGTAAGTGATAGTTTTTGAATATATAAAGATATATGTCTGAAGTTCTCAGAAAAGTTCAGAGGATTGAGAGTTTAGATTTTCATTTTAGTAAAATAGTAGTATTTGACTCTAAAACTAATCTTAAGATTCTAGAAATTTTCCCTATAGCTGAAGTATCATTTTACCCTCCCATAGCTTATAAATCAAGTGCTACCTGCCTTTGGTAAAGTAACAACTTAGTTTCAATTATTGCTTAACCTGCAGTTTAGGATTCCCAAATAGAACATAAAAATGGCAAGTATTTTTATCATATAGTTATTACACTTTTGAGTGGACCACATTATCACCATCTTTAACCCAAGTTGTAGGATATTTACTGTACCTTTTATTCTACCTGCTTCAGTTGTACTAAACGTTAGAAGACCATTCACTAGTAATTAGTCATATTTTCATAGGATTTGTTAAAAATGACAAAGGGCTAAGTTCTTCCAAGTGTCAAGCTCTAAATAACTGGTCAAATGGTCATGTTAAAGAAAACATACATTCTAAAAGCCTTTTCTTCAAAATTATTTTGCTGTTAGGAAAATCAAGGGGGCTCTTGTTTTAAGGCTTGATTTTTAAGGAGAAGCTTTTTTAAAGAATAAGCTATAACCTGGATACTAGGCAATGGAGTAATTCATACCAAGTAACAATGATGAAAGAGTCTTATTGTCTAGGTGTTGATTCTAGACTTGTAGGTAAGTCACTTTCATTTGGTAAGATGCATGTCTTTTGTAAAACACACATAATAACACCTACTTCTTAGGGTCATTATAGAGATAAAATGAGATGGTGTATATTTGGAACCTGGCACAAAGTAAACAATAAAGACTAGCTTTTATCAACTGAGGAACATCTCTGCCTAAATTACCCCATTGTATTGTCACTAAATGGTCAAATTAGAGTTGGATGACCATCAGATGATTTGCTATCTAGTTAGATTGACACTGAATATAGAGGGAGTCTTCATATGTGTGTATGTGTGTTGTGGTTTGGTTTTGGGGACCATGCTGTTGCTGCTTTCTGTGCAGCTGGGATTCCATCGCTACCCTGGCATAGACAGTGAAGTGATGATTTCCAGCAGAGTGAGTTTCATCATGCATTTCTGGTGTGTCCCTTTTAGGAGATTTTCCCCTGTGTCCTCTTCAATTAAGAGGTGGCCTGACATCATGGATAGCTTACAACTCTGGAAACCAGGAGACTTCGGATATATATGTGTTTCCAGTTCTGTTCCCAAATTCCTGATTTGTAAAAATGTGGGGCTGGGCTAGCACCAGAATGTTACTGACAGGTGTCTAAGTTTTTTCAGTAGTCAGCCATCTAATTAGAAATCTGTATTTTATTCATGCATCCGTTAATGTATGTGTATCTCCTGAGAGTTCTAGCAAAACTAGAAAGTTTTCCTAATTACCAAGCACTGATCAAATGTAAGATTAGGTGGAGCCTAAGAACTTGTTTGCTGCAAACGTCTTGTATCTGAAGGCTGAGAGGTGTCATGACATCAAGACTGGATCATTCAGTAATTATAATTCCAGTTCTGTAGAATTTATTATAGAAATTAAATCAATAGAGTATTATATTGTAAAGGAAGAAAAAAGAAAAACAGCTATGTAGATAGCTTCCATAAATTGACTAAGGTTTGAATCATATCTAATTCCCCTTAGCCAAGCATAGAACCTCTTGACTCACCACTGTAGTCATGTCATAAACATGCTGATAAAGCTTAGACACATGGATTTCTGATCATGTGGCCCACTGTTGGCAAATCTTGGATTTCTGTGCACTAGGTGATTTTCCAGGACTAGCAGCCTGTGAATGCTAAGTCACAGGTTATCCTAGTCTTTTCTCCTTGATCCACTTGAAAAACAAAAATATAAATCATTCCCTCTTTATTTTTACTGCTAACATGACCCTTTGATCTTGTGTATTTTCCTTTGACCATTAAGAGCAGGTATAACTTTGTATTAAAAAACACAAAATACAGAATGTACAGGATATATTAATATAAGAAGGCACTTTATATTTACGTTGGGAAAAAGCAATGTATTTTTTTAATGTTTTTGAGGCTAATAATTGGAGCTAAGCCAAAAATGTGTGAAGTCTCAATGACTTGTAAATGCTTACTGACTTGGAATATATATTCCAGGAATATGTTGAATTCCTTTCATTTTTCACTAGCTTATAAGGGTTAGGATTATATTACTCCTCTACCAAAAAAGACAACAACAAAAAAAAACCCACTACAATAGCTTTTCTGTGGGATGGAATTGAAATTTCTCAGCCTGCCATTGAAAGCCCTTCACAACCCAGCTCCAAATGTTTTTCAGTTTCTTCTTATTCCCTACTATGCACCCGCCCCTCTGGACCCCCAGTGGCTCACACTACTCCCGGGGCATTTCTCCACCTCTGCCTCTTTGCTCAGGCTGCTCCTTTTGCCTGGGATGCCCTCTCTTCTTGTATCCAGTCTACCTGACAAACTCTTATCCATTTTTCAAGATCCAACCTAGATGAAGCAAAATGTTACCTGTCTTCATAAATCCCTTTGCATTCTTTCTCCAGGCAGAAAGTATCTCCCTCACCTGCTCCTCCATACCTAGTGCACACTGTGCTGGCTATTGTTCAATTCTCCCACTGCTGCTACCCTCTCTGGAGCAAAGACTGTTTTCATTTTGGCATCGGACACACAGTAGATGCTCAATAAAGCCTTGTCAAAGTGAATGGAAACACATGTATGTGGCAAGAAAGAAGGAAAAACCCTGATTCACATCAAATATATGTCATTTTTTTATTCATTATAAATACAGGCAAATGAATGAGGAATTGAAATTCAGCCATAACCCTGCTCTCTCAGAGGGAGGCATTGTTAACAGTTTAGTATACATATTTCCAGCCAAAGTCTACTTTTGAAAGGAGATCTGCTTTTTAAAATTAGGGGAGGAGTAGCAGGGGGTGGGGGGATTGGGGAGGGATAGCATTAGGAGAAATACTTAATGTAGATGATGGGCCATGGGTGCAGTAAACCACAGTGACACATGTATACCTATGTACCAAACCTGCATAATCTGCACATGACCCCAGAGCTTAAATAAATTATCTACATAGCCTAACTGTTGGTCCTAATTTTTGACTTTGCTCTTTCTTTGTTAGCTCACAGAGAGAATAATCATCCTTTTTGTGGTGATCACCAGTCAAGAGGAAGTCCAAGGGAAATACGTGGTGTGTGTTTTATTCATCTTTTGGAATCTATTGGATATGGTTAGGTAAGAAGGCAAAATAATCTCTTTAAAAAAAAAAAAAAAAAGGCCAAATTACTTTCTACAGTGAAATCAGTACTAGCCGCTTACATTTGGTTACTCTGTACGAGAGGGGAAACATAGTCCCCTTTTCAAATTATTTTATGTTGATAAAGAAATGTATTTTTAGTGCTCTCTGCAATAGGCATATCAAAGATAATGAAAACCTACCATGGTATTACAAGAGTAAAGCAGCACATTCAGGTTTCTGCAGAAGGCTTGGCATAAAACCAAATTGGAATAACCCTCAGCTGTTTCCTAACGGGAGGCATTCCTCACAATTACTTTAGTACAGTTGCTTTAATAAGCAAAGCAGGTCTTCTATTATATCATCAGAATTTAGAGTTAGTTCCTGTGCATTCAAGAATCTTTTAAATAATGGGGCCTCTCTAGAAGAAAATGCACTCCCACATCCATTTACGATTCCAGTGGGTTCAAACAACTAACTTAAGTTCTTTTATGGAAGCATTGAGAAGCCTTGCTCCAGTCTTCAGTGTCCTGCTAATTCTAAAACTTTGCAGTGAGATGTACCTAGCCTTATCCCTACAAGTGATGGTGTAAAACAGTCCCCTTTGCTCAGTGAGTACTTATACCTAAATATGGGGAGATGTCCTAACTGCTAGGTCAGCTTTCACAAATGAGAACTGTCCCTTCCACTTGAGAGATTTGGATTTGAATAGGTAACAAAAGAGCCTTAGTTTGTTTTTTTAGCCAAAGTTACGTAAATTTTTTATTGCCAATAACTGGATTAAAATGTCTAAATAAGTCCTAGAGTGAATTAGAATAAAATGCTTTGTAGAAGTAAAATGAATTTAATTATGTATATAAATTAGTAATTTCTCATTTTTGAATTGATAGTTTAGTGGACTTGGGGCAAACTTCATGGACATTCATAGCCCTTCTATTCATGAGACAATGGAACATCATTTGGGATTGAAGCTTTCTAGTATGTTGCTCTTAGGTATGCTGACTCTGTCAGTCTCAGAAGCTCAGTAAAAACATTGAAGAATAAAACAATGTTTGCACTGAAAGAAGTAGCATGCTGTCATAAGAAGACTTTTGGACTGAAAGGTAGATGTCCCTGGATGAACCCACCTTCGCCACTTACTTGCTAAGTGATGGTTAGGCAAATCACTTAACCTTTCATATTTTAATAACAGCTTTATTGAGATACAATTTATATACCATGAAATTCACCCTTTTAAAATACACAATTTGTGGGTTTTAGTAGATCGAAAAAGATGTGCAGTCATCACTAGTCTCTAAGAACATTTTGATCACCCCTAAAAGAAACCTCATCCCTAGTAGCAGTCATTTCCCACTCCCTCCTCCCTCCAGCCCCTGGAAACCACTTACAACATGCTGTCTCTATGGACTGCCTATCCTGGAAATTTCATATAAATGGAATCATCCACTATGTGGCCTTTTGTGACAGGCTTCTTTTACTTAGCATAATGTTTTCAAGGTTCCTCTGTGTTGTGGCATGTGTCAGTACTTAATTGCTTTTTGGGCTGAGTAAAATTTGCTTGTATTGATTTACCACTATCTGCATATCCACATATCAGTTGATGGACATTTGGGTGGTTTCTACTGTTTGGCCATGAGGAATACTGCCATGAACATCCATATACAAGCTTTTGTGTGCACACGTTTTCATTTCCCTTATACCTAGGAGTGAAATTTGAGGCACCTAACTTTTAGAAACTTTTTTTTTCTCTGTAAAATGGGGGCTCACTTATCTTCCCACCCTACCCTAGAATTATTTTTCCTAAAGTAATGAGCAAGAAACTTCCTCAGCCTGATAAAAGCATCTATGAAAAATCCATACTAACATAATAGTTAATGGTGAAAGACTAATGCCTTCCTCCTAATATCCAAGAACAAGACGAGGGCATCCACTCTTGCCACTTACATTCAACATTGTCCTGGAAGTTTTATCCATGGCAATGAGGCAGAACAGAAAACAAACAAAATGGTATGAAAGACAGGTAGGCTAGAAAGCAACAAGTAAAACTATCTCTATTGGCAGATGACATAAAAAATTATAAGACCAATATATAAAAATGAATTATATTTTCATACATTTGTAATTAACTACCATAAAGTGAACTCAAGAACACGATGCTGTTTATAGTAGCATCAAAAAGAATAAAGTACTGAGGAATAAATTTAACAAAAGATACACAGAATTTATACACTGAAAATTATAAAGCATTGTTGAAAAAAATTAAAGATCTAAATAAATGAAAGGACATCCCACATGGCTTGAAGACTTAATATTGCTCAGATGGCAGTATTCCCTAAATTGATCTGTAGATTCAGTGCAATCCCTATTAGAACCCAGATGACTAATTGCAGAAAATGAGAAGCTGATTCTAAAACTCATATTCAAACTCGGAATAGCCAAAACAATTTTAGAAGACTATAGCTGATGTCTCATTCTTCCCCATGTCGAAACTTACTACAAAGCAATGATTGAGTGTGCTACTGGCATAAGGATAAGTCATGGAATAAAATTGATAGTCTAAATATAAACTCTCACATTTTTGATAAATTAACTTTTGACAAGACTGCCAAGACCATTCAATGGGGAAAGATTAGTTTTTTTTGCCAAATGGTGGCGGGACCAACTGGGTATTTATATGCAAAAGAATGAAGTTAACACTCACATGTAAGTGGTAAAACTATGAAACTCTTTGGAAAAAAATAAATGAGTAAATCTTGATGACTGGATTTAGCAGTGGATTACAAAATAGGACACCAGACACACAAAAGAAAAAATAAGATAAATTGGACTTCATCAAAGTGGCCTTTTTTTTTTTTGAGATGGAGTCTCGCTCTCTTTCAGTCTAGAGTGGTGTGATCTCAGCTCACAGCAACCTCTGCCTCTTGGGTTCAGATGATTCTCTTGCCTCAGCCTCCTGAGTAGCTGGGATTACAGGCGGCCGCCACCATGCTCAGTTAATTTTTGTATTTTTAGTAGAGACAGGGTTTCGTCATGTTTCCCAGGCTGGTCTGGAACCCCGACCTTGGGTGATCTGCCTGCCTCGGCCTCCCAAAGTGTTGGGATTGCATGCGTCAGCCACCGCACTCAACCAAAAGTGGCTTTTAAACATGAAAAGATGCTTACCTGCTCTTCTGAGGGGGAAAAGGTGAGATATTATTTTCACTTTGATTGGTAAAGATCAAAAAGCTTGATAATATGCTGTGTTTAATGAGGTCCTGCACTGCTGGTATGTATTCTTTGTAGTAAATATGCATATAGATATACAAATGCAAAAACGTTTCTGAAAGAATACCTAAGAAACTGACATTGGCCATTGTCTCTGAGGGGTGGAATTCAGGTCCTGGATTGAGAGAAATTTACTCTTCCCCATTCATGTTTTCATGGTGTTCTGGGTGGTTTTGCCATATGTATTTATTGTCTGTCTCTATCAGTAGTTCTCAAAGTGTGGTCCCTGGACCAGTGGCATCAGTATCACCTGGAACTTGTTAATACAAAGTCGGCTGTACCACAGATCCGTTGGTTCAGAGACTTTGGGAGTAGGGCCCAGTAATTTGTGTTTTAACACTTTAACATGTCATCTAGGTGATTCTGATGTATGCTCAAGCCTAAAAACCAGTGTCCTATGCAAAGAAATAAAACACCATGTAGACTATTTAATCTATTACATCACAAAGGTGGGCTTAGAGGTCCCTACTATACCCAAATTAGCTCCCAAGTCCAGTTGTTTAATTGATCACATATTACAACCGCAGAAGCAGAAGGATGCCACGTAAAGATTTGGAAGTCATATTTTATTTTTTAATTCTGAGATATTTACAAGTATGTCTGTCTTTAAAAAACCTAGTTGCTTGCTGCATAAAATGGGCTTGGCTTTTTAATGAAATTGGAGTCATTAATCAAGAAAATTTGTATTTTTCTAAGGAGGGAGTAAGAGTTATTTGCTCTGTTTAGCTTTATAATTATTCATGATCTACCCCATGAGTCAAGCCAGATTGACATGGTCCCTTCCCCCCCATTAAAAAAAAAAAAACTTTTCTCTTGCTTAAATTATAGGAAATAAAATATATAATTTGCACACTTTCCAGTTATATCTCTGATCGTAATTACATAGTAAAGTACAGATATTAGCAGAAAATTGTGTTTATGAGCATCTCCTCTCCTTTCAGGTACACTTACAGCATGTTATCAGTCATAGGAATATCCTATGCTGTCTTGACATGGCTGAGTCAAACACTATGGATGCCAATTTATCCTTTATGTGTTCTCGCCGAAGGTAAGAAAAGAGTGACTTGCTATATTACCGACGAAAGCCATCTAGTTATAATGGTTCACTAAGTTTTTTGATGATTAAATTACTATTTTTGCAGATGCTTAGCGCACTCAGTGTGTCTTTCCTGGTACATTTCCCTTGATGCAGAGACAAAGTTGAACAGGGAAGCAGCTCTGCACAGTAGACAAAATATTGTCAAAAAGCAAAGGCATCTGAGTCCTTCATTAATTCACTGTATGAGTTTTGAGTAACTCATTTAACCTCTCAGAGTCTGCTTGCTCACCAAAAAGAGGTTAATATTTAGAGACTCCATGATTTCTAACTTGTAATGCGCAGAAATTGAGTTCCCACTTACCATTTCCCATGTATCCTGCCCTCTCTCAGCAACTAGTTAACTCTGCCTTCAGATTAATCATCATTTTCTGAGGGAGGCATTCCCCGACTTCCTCAACTGAGTACTTCCACCTACAGCATCATGAATCTTTTATAGCAGGGGCCCCCAACCCGGGCTATGACCCCAGTCTGCAGCCCGTTAAGAGCCAGGCTGCATAGCAGGAGGTGAGTGGTAGGCTAGCAGGTGAAGAATCATCTGTGTTTATGGCCACCCACCATGGCTCACATTATCACCTTAGCTCTACCTCCTGTCAGATCAGTGGAGGCATCAGATTTTCATAGGAGCACGAACCCTTTGGTGAACTGCACATGTGAGGGATCTAGGTTGCATGCTCCTTATGAGAATCTAATGCCTGATGATCTGTCATTGTCTCCCATCACCCCCAGATGAAGAACATCTAGCTGCAGGGAAATAAGCTCAGGGCTCCCACTGTTTCTACATTATGGTGAGCTGTATAATTATTTCATTATATATTACAACATAGTAATAATGCAAATAAAGTACGCAATAAACATCATGTACTTGAAACATCCCGAAACCATTCTTCCTCCCCTGGTCTGTGGAAAAATTGTCTTCCACAAAACCAATACCTGGTGTCTAAAGGTTGGGGACTGCTGTCTTATGGGGCTTATCTCAGCATAATTACACATTTGTATGATTATTTGATTAATGTCCATTTCCTTGACTGGACTGTAAGCTCTGAGGGGGTATGAGGATGTCTTTGTTTGTTTCTTTGCTTCCTTCCTTTCTCTGACGCATCAGTATACATGCTCAACACAGAATGAATTGTTGAATACAATATGAAGTAGGCTAATTACATAGCCTAAAACTGAAGATCAAATCATTCAGATAACCAGTTTGCAGAGTTTGAGGATATTTGTAGAATAGATGATTTCTTCTGCAGTGGATTTGGTAGACTGGTAAGGAGCATTCTGTAAGACATGATTAAAGTTTTGAAAATTGAAGGCATAAAATAAGCATGTTAAGCTAACTAAGGGAAAAACAAGGACGTAGATTTAAGATAAAATGATGACATTGACAATAATCATAAACTATATAAAAGCCAGTTAAAACATAAAAACACATTTTCTCTCCACTGATGAGCAGAGAAAAAGAGCTTAAGTTACTGTAAATCATGTTAGATAGAATTTTAAACTTTTTTTTTTTGTTTCAAAAGGAAGAATTACTAATTTTGGAATAGACTACGCCAAGTGGATCTAGAGAATAATTGTCTTGAAAACCATAAAAAACAACCTGATTGTCCATTCTTTGAGAATGAAATCACCTCTCATTGTAATATCAAGTACATATCTTTGTTATATCATAGCACTGTAGAGAGTATATAAAGGAAATGGGGAGATGTTGGTCAAAGAATACAAAGTTTATTAGGAGGGATACATTTTTGAGATCTACTGCCCAGCTGGGTCACTGTACTTAATAATGTATATTTCAAAATAGCTGAGTAACTTTCAAATGTCTCATCCCCCCCAAAAATAAGTGAGGTGAGGGATATGTTAAGTAGCTTGATTTAATCATTCTGCATTGTACATATATATCAAAACATCACATTATGTTTTATATATATATACAATTATGATTTGCTAATTAATCAAATTTAAAAGAATATATAAGGTAATAAGGTAGAAATAAGACTAGTCCCTTCCTAAGAATAAGGGGTGGATAAATGTAGAGGAAACTTTTGCATTCTTGTTATTCCATAGTTCTTTTTTTTAATTGTATTTGGGCTCTGGGGTTCATGTCACATCCTGCAGGATTGTTGCATAGGTACATACATGACATGGTGATTTGTTGTCTCCATCCCTCCCCTTGACCCGTTGCCTACATCAGGCATTTCTCCTGGTGTTATCCTCCCTGCCCCCACTGTTGTCCCTCTCGCCTCCCCTATACCCTCCCACATAGCCCAGTGAGTGTTGTTCCCTTCCCTGTGCCCAAGTGTTCTCCTTGTTCATCACCCACCTATGAGTGAAAACATGCAGTGTTTGGTTTGCTGTTCTTGTGTCAGTTTGCTGAGAATGATGGTTTCGAGATTCATCCATGTCTCTACAAAGGACAGGAACTCATTGTTTTTTATGGCTGCATAGTATTCCATGGTGTATATGTGCCACATTTTATTTGTCCACTCTGTCATTGATGGGCATTTGGGTTGGTTCCAGGTCTTTGCTGTTGTCAACAGTGCTGAAACAAACATATATGTGCATGTGTCTTTATAACAGAACGATTTATAATTTTTTTAATACATACCCAGTAATGGGATTGCTGGGTGAAATGGAATTTCTATTTCTAGATCCTTGAGGAATCACCACATTGTCTTCCATAATGGCTGAACTAATTTAAACTCCCAGGAACAGTGTTAAAGTGTTCCTTTTTCTCCACATCCTATCCAGCATCTGTTGTCTCCAGATTTTTTAATGATTGCCATCTAACTGGCATAAGATGGTATCTCAATGTGGTTTTGATTTGCATTTCTCTAATGACCAGTGATGATGAGCATTTTTTCATATGTTTGTTGGCCGCATAAATGTCTTCTTTTGAAAGCATCTGCTCGTAAACTTTGACCACTTTGGAATGGGTTTGTTTTTTTCTTGTAAATCTCTTTTAGTTCTTTGTAGATTCTGGATATTAGCCCTTTGTCAGATGGGTAGATTGCAAAAATTTGTTCCCATTCTGTTGGTTGCCAGTTCACTCTAATGATTGTTTCTTTTGCTGTGCAGAGGATCTTAAGTTTAATTAGGTCCCATTTGTCTATTTTGGCTTTTATTGCCATTGTTTTTGGTGTTTTAGTCATTTAGTCTTTGATTGTGCCTGTGTCCTGAATGGTGTTGCCTACGTTTTCTTCTAGGGTTTTTATGGTGGTACTTATGATTAAATCTTTAATCTATCTGGAGTTAATTTTTGTATAAGATATAAAAAAGGAGTCCAGTTTCAGCTTCCTGCATATGGCTAGCCAGTTTTCCCAACACCATTTATTAAACAGGGAATCCTTTCCCCATTGATTGTTTTTGTCAGGTTTGTCAAAGATCAGATGGTTGTAGATGTGTGGCATTGCTTCTGAGGCCTCTGTTCTGTTCCATTGGTCTATATCTCTGTTTTGGTACCAGGACCATGCTGTTTTGATTACTGTAGCCTTGTAGTATAGTTTGAAGTGAGGTAGCATGATGCCTCCAGCTTTGTTCTTTTTGCTTAGGATTGTCTTGGCTATGCGGGCTCTCTTTTGGTTCCATATGAAGTTTAAGTTGTTTTTTTCCAGTTCTGTGAAGAGGGTCATAGGTAGCTTGGTGGGAATTGTGTTGAATGTGTAAATTACTTTGGGAAGTATGGCCATTTTCACAATATTCTTCCTAACCATGAGCATGGAATGTTTTTCCATCTTTTCGTGTCCTCTCTTATTTCCTTGATCAGTGGTTTGTAGTTCTCCTTGAAAATATCTTTACATCCTTTGCTAGTTGTATTCCTAGGTATTTTATTCTCTTGGTAGCAGTTGTAAATGGGAGTTTGCTCATGATTTGGCTCTCTGTCTGTTGTTGGTATATAGGAATGCTTTTCATTTCTGCACATTGATTTTTTATCCTGAGACTTCACTGAAGTTGCTTATCAGCTTGGAGGCTTTGGGCTGAGACGATAGGGTCTTATAAATATACAATCATGTGGTCTGCAAATGGGGACAGTTTGACTTGTTCTTTTCCTAACTGAATGCCCTGTATTTCTTTTTCTTGCCTGATTGCTCTGGCTAGAAGTTACAATACAGTATTGAATAGGAGTGGTAAGAGAGGGCATCCTTGTCTAGTGCCAATTTTTAAAGGGAATGCTTCTAGTTTTTGCCCATTCAGTATAATATTGGCTGTGGGTTTGTCATAAATAGCTTTTATTATTTTGAGGTACATTCCATCAATACCTAGTTTATTGAGAATTTTTAGCATAAAGGGCTGTTGAATTTTGTCAAAGGCCTTCTCTGCATCTATTGAGATAATCATGTAGTTTTGTCTTTGGTTCTATTCATGTAGTGGATTATATTTCACTCTAATGATTGTTTCTTTTGCTGTGCAGAAGCTGTCGAGTTTGATTAGGTCCCATTTGTCTATTTAGGCTTTTGTTGCCAATGCTTTTGGTGTTTCGGTCATGAAGTCCTTGCCTACACCTATGTCCTGAATGGTTTTGCCTAGATTTTCTTCTAGGGTTTTTATCGTGTTAGGTCTTATGTTTAAGGCTTTAATTCATCTGGAGTTAATTTTAGCGTAAGGTGTCAGGAAGGAATCCAGTTTCTGCTTTCTGCACATGGCTAGCCAGTTTTCCCGACACCATTTATTAAATAGGGAATCCTTTCCCCATGGCTTGTTTTTGTCACGTTTGTCAAAGATCAGATGGTTGTAGATATGTTGTATTGCCTCCGAGGTCTCTGTTCTGTTCCATTGGTCTATATCTCTGTTTTGGTACCAGTATCATGCTGTTTTGATTACTGGGTCCTTGTAGTATAGTTTGAAGTCCAGTAGTGTGATGCCTCCCGCTTTGTTCTTTTTGCTTAGAATTGACTTGGCTATGTGGGCTCTCTTTTGGTTCCATATGAAGTTTAAGGTGTTTTTTCCAGTTCTGT